CTGTGGGGTGGGGTTTTTTTTTTTTTTGTTTTTTTTTTTTTCCCCCCCCCCCCCCCCCAATGCTGTTTGTATAAGTTTTGCTTATTTCTGTTTTGTGCTTCAGTTTGTCCAGTGCTCTCTGCTTGAATGGCAAGATAGATTTATACGCTTCATTCTTGGTCAGGCAGAACTCCAGTTTTGTTTCTTGGGGTTTTTTTTTTGTTTTTTGTTTTGGTTTTTTGGGGGGGTTTTTTGTTTGTTGGTTTTTTTGTTGTTGTTGTTTTGGGGGTGGGGTTTTTTTTTGTGTTTTGGTTTGGGGTTTTTTTTTGTTTTGTTTTTTTTTTTGCATCTACCATACACTTTCTTAAAGGGCAATCAGATAATGGGTATGTTTTATGTAATTAAGAGTTCACTGTAGTGGCTTTCATTTAATATGGCTGTCTGGGAGAACAGGGCCTCCTTGCCCTGTATGATGTAATTTAAACTTATGGCATTTTTACTGTGTATAATATGGTGTCCTCTGTGCCAGTTTTGTACCTTATAATAGAGGCAGATTGCCTCAGATCGCTGTGGTTCTTATTATCAAAATTAAGTTTACTTGTATACTAAACAACCACAAGAAATTTGATTCTGTAAAGAATCCTCTTTAGCTGTGGCCTGGCAGTATATATATGGTGCTTTATTTAACAGAATACCTGTGGAGGAAATAAAGCACACTTGATGTAAAATTAATTGTTTTATTTTTATTGACATGATCAGTTGCTATTCTGTGCACTTCATTAAACTGATTGTGATGACTTTTCATTTGTTTATAATATGTTGCTTCAGTCTTTGGATTTCTCATCAAAGACAACTTGAAAAAGGAAACAGCTGTAGAAAGAAACGATGGTCACATATAGATAACCGATGGAAACCTTGGTCTTCATCTGGTTTACTGTGCCTGAACGTTCAGTCACACAGTCGAGAGGGACGGGTGTTGTCGACTCTTCCCTCTGCTACGTTAGAACGTGACATGGTGTCAGAAGCCAGTGGAACTTCACATTTCGTTGTTTCCCCCGTTTTAACCTGTGGCAGTTGTCTTTTCTTCCTGCTCCATTTGCAGACTTCCTTTTTCCCCCTTCTACTCTGGGGCCCACTCCAGCTGGCTGTGCTCCCTCACTCTCCTGAAGCCTACCTCCACCCCCGGCAATGCTGGAATGACTCTGTTGCCTTTCCCTGTCACATTTCCTCCTGTTACTTCTGAGCAATACCCATTTCCTATGTTATCTTTCACACTGGCAATGATACTGGTTTTAATACCCAATTAAACTCCCATTTTCAGCTTTATTTTCTAGTTGCTAAGCTCATTTTTCTGTTGTCTCGAGAACACATCTATCCTGGCCTTTTTTCTTCCAAATTCCTTCACTCTGCCTACCATTTAATGTAATGTAGCATCACTTGCTTCTCCATGATTCTTTTGTGACTCCTCTTACTCTCTTTGAATCTGTTCTCATTTTTTTCTTAACCTTCTGTAATGAATTACTACTTCTAAAGTTTACACTTCGTATTCCCCTTTATCGGCACTTTTATTCCTGCATTTACACTGTATTGATGCTGGTAAGTGCTTAAGTTGGCCTCATTCTTCAGACATGAAGTAAGTATGTTTTCACTCTCTTTAGGAATAATTTTATTACTCTTTCTGATCAACTTCTCCATAGATTGTAACTTCAGAGAAATCATCAAAACTTCTACATAAGGAGTATCAGAATTCATCTATCGAGTCTTCTACCCAAGCCTGCTCACTTGTGGTTGGATTAAGAGGTTTTTAGGAAGATGCTCCCCTATCTATCTAAAAATCTTCAGGAGATGAAGCAGCTGTTACATCCCTTTGGTGAGTACTTGCAGTTAATTCACTACTACTCTTAAAAACGTGCATCTGATTTTTGGTACGTTCCCCGACCTCCCCTTTTAGCTACTGCGCTTTGTTGGCTTTAGCTTCTCATAGAGGATGAGAACGCACCGTAATTCTGTTAACTCGAGTGGGATTCTGTCGTGCGATGTTTCTTTCCTCATTTTTTTGAAACCCCTTTTTTAAGTGTATTCAAGTATATTTAATAATTATTTATTTATATATCCAAGTATATATTTATATGTATTTGCTATTGATAAATATTGGACATATTTATACCCAAGTATTTAGTAATTATTTGCTAAACAATATACAGGCATGAAATGCACACTTCTTCCTCTTCTGTCTTCCCCGAGGAGCATTACCCTCCTGGGTTCAGCCAGTCACCGACTACTGAGTAGGTACCTTAAGTTATTTTTAGGATGTTTTTCCCCTACAGACCTCTATAGGTGATCTGCAAATTCTACTACCGGTAATTTTGTATTTTATTGTAATTTATTTTCTTTCTATTATTTACAAATATATAACTGGCTATTTTGAATCCCACTAGAGGCCCACTTATTTGATAACCAGCTGCCATTAACACGGAAGTTAGTTTCAGATGACCTTTCAGTGATGCAGTGTGTTGGGTCTTGGTGGCTCTGTAAACAGAGCAAGACACCCATCATACATATAAGCTATGTTAGGCCAGCAGTTCCCTCTACAATCTAAAATTTGGCAAGATATTAAAAACCATGTTGATTATCCTTAATTAAATGATCCTGTAGTTCTAAACTGACTGAATTTAGTACTAGTTTTTTTACTACTTTGCTCAGTTGTGTCAAGACTACCAGGTGTATCATTCTTCTTCCTGCTCTTCCCTTACATTACTTGCCGATTTCCCCCTGCCATTTTCACTGGGAATTTTTTGCCAGTATTCATTTTTTTAAACAAAACTAAGTGATACCTGCACAAACTTGTCTCCTCTTCCACATTTCCACCTGTTTCTTCATCTTCCTCCGTGTCCCTCATTTTACATGTTCTGTACATCAGGATTTGTTCTACAGTGTTCCCCTCCTTCTACTTCAAATGCGTTTTCTAGTTTGTATTTCTTTGCTTTCAAAAATGCCTTTTTCATCCGTCTTTGAAAACCTCATCTTTAACTGGCTTCCCCAGGCGTTTAAAGCTTTTATTCTCTTCCATGGCTCATCCCACCTCCCATTTAACCTCTTTCAGATTAAGCTTTTAAAATACCTCCTCCTCCTCCTCCCCACCAGCCAGGCTCTCCCTCCTGGACTCACAACTGTTAGGACCATCCTCTCTACTGATTTTTGGCTATAGCCTTACAAGTCTTGTCTTGGACATCTCATTATTTTTCCCTCTTGGCTTTCTCAGAGACCAGGCTGCTGGACAGAATCTGACTACATTATGGAAGTGTTATATCACAAACAAAACTATCTTCTGCTTGGTCTCTTCTTTCACATGCTCGCTAGCCTCCTTAAAACACACAAATTCCAATAAATTTGAGCATTATTTCCCACAAACTCTCTACATGTGTCTCCACTCCTGCTGTTTTCTCTTTTGTTATACTGGGAAAATTTTAGGATAGGGAACTCTTTCACAGAGACTTACTTAGAAAACAAACTACATTTATGATAAGATCATTTTCATTATGTACGATACTATCCTATCATTATCATCACATTGTTTAGTAATGGTATGTGATTCCTAACTCTGCTCCATCCAGCTCCAGGGCTGAGGATAAGTAGTTCAACATTCTTCGTTTTTATTAAACTCCTGGAGAGTCTATGAGAAATTATAGCACTAAAGAGTAAATGGCTTTACCAGAATAAATCATCTCCAAGATGATGATTGCCCCCTTTGTGTTATGGCTGGCTGATAGTGCTACACATTCTCCTGAAGACTACCTCATTTTTCTCAATTTTGAAATAACTGTGTACAGCACTTGAACTTTCAGGTCAGCAAGACAACAGTAATGTCAGCTAAGCCCCAGAACAGAGAGTGAGGATGGGAAGACTGCAGGAACGCTGGTGAAGCAAGAAGAAAAAATGTCCGTTTTTTGCCTGTAAGGGCAGTCAATCAGGGGCTGTTTGCGGCTGTGAGAGCCGACTGCCCATTTCTTACGCGAGGCTGGCCTATCAGGAGGATGAAAAGGTAAGTACTTCACCTTTTTAACTCAAGAAAGCCTGTATGTATCATCACACTTACAGATGTGCAGGCATGAGGGAACAAGGACGCCACTGAAGAGGGCAAAGGCACATCATCTTCAGTGCACCACCCTTAAAGAGGAAACGAGGGCTGGCTGGGGCTCTTCCTCCTCACAGTCTTGGACCTCCCAGCAGCAGCTGCAGTTTCCTGGGCGTTTTGGCTGTCCATGCCTGGAAGCGAGTGATGCAACACTGGAAACACAAGTCAGTCACTTCTTTTTTTGACATTACTGATTGGCAATTGGTCCAGTTGAATACACCTGCTAGTGGAAGGAGACAAAAAAATTCAGACTGGCAAGACACACAAGTAGTGGGCACATGGGCCCCTGTGATGGAAGTGGTTTTTTAGCCTGGAAGGGAAGCTGCTGAGGAATACGTCCCCGAGAATTACTAGGGCTGTGGGGTACACTATCTGAAGAAACTTGTAATGAGGTCTAAGAGCCACTCTCTAAATTGTCAGTGTCATCTCTTAGGTCATCTACACACAAAACTGCTTAGCCTGATCTCTGTCTTAAAAACTAGATTTTCTATTTCCATTTAAAGATTGCTCCTTTGTCAACCAATACCCCAAATCATTTTTGTAGTCAAAATGTTAGGCTCTTTGTCCTTGAATATTTGTCCAAAAAAGGACAAAAAAACTAACTAAATTTTGAGCATTCAGAAAAAGAAAGATGCTAAAACAGGGCATTTCTCAAGTGGCTGTTCTCCATCCTCTGTCTGGACACCTAAAACACAAGCAGTGCAACCCACAGTAACCAGTCTGTGCGTCCATCCTGTCGCTGTGAGGGGTTTGTGTTACTACAGCAAACCTCACCTAAGTTGAAAGGGGATAACTGACTGCAAAGCCTTCAAGGAAAACCTCGCCTGTAGAAAAGAGCAGCACATCTTTATCTTCTGGATGATGGAAGTTTATGTGTGGTAGGGTTGCCCTGTGTTGGTGTCCTGTAAAAATAAAATGTGTAGGATTTAAGTTCCATACAGACTCATTATGTTTGGCAGCATTGGATAGTGGAGAAAATAAACTGCATGTAAAATAATTTATTTTATTGAGCCAACCATGTTTTCCAAAGGTAGCTTGCCCTTTTTTGGTCCATTTGTTTCAAACTGCATACTTAATTCATACACTTTTTATAAAGCAGTGGAGAATTAAGTTATCCTTGCTAACCTCCATGTGGTTCAATTAACAGTACTTTCAATATCGCAACTATGCTCCTCTCGCATTTGTCTAACAAACAGTTGCTCGCTTCAGTCTGAGCTGCAGAAGTACAGAGGGCCATAAATGAGTTACACGGAAGGCTTACAGAATTGCAAAAGGAAAGCGTTATTACTGTTGGTTTCTTCCAAAATAAATTTCACACTGAGGTCAAGTGAGTCCAGTGCATGCAGACTTAACAGTGGTAACCGTCGTACCAACCTGAATGATGTGACATTGTTAATTATCTTCCCCTAAAACTGTCTACAGAGTTAGAAACAAATTCAGTCTGCAGTTAAAGCAATATTAAGTAGTATTTTAAAAGGCTGTAAACTATATCCCCCACATTTCTTGAAAGATCTAACGTATCAGCAGTTTCCTAATCTGTTTCAGTTCACCTCTTATGGGAACCCCATCTCCTAGAGGGATTTAATTTTGCCACTCGATACACCGAATATTAAAGACCCGCAAATGCTTTCTATTGATTCTTGTGGCTTACCTACCTCTGATGGTAGTGCTTTACTGCAGCTGAATCATTATTACTCTCTGAACTTGCAGGTGAGCAGAGCAGAGCTCAGTTTCTGCAAGTAAAGCTGTTTATGTAAGTAGACTTACTTGCCACCTCGGGTCACTAAAAATGCATAAATAATGCTTAAATTTATGTACAGTATCATAGAAGCGGGTCTTTATTCTTCCCACAAATAAATTACTTTTTTTAAAAAACAAATGTTAACAAAGTATAAAAAGTAATGCCCTAACAAAACGACAGTGCTGTTATCATTCCATATTGTCTTTGGATTGCTGCAGTAAAATACGTATTTCTTCAAAATACTGCTTCTTCCAACATTGTCTTGTACTGTCTTCATTAGAGACAGGAACTCCTTTGCACTCTAACTGCAGTTCCGTTTGCGCAGCCATATCCTTGAAATTCAAGGCAACCGTTGCATAATGTTCTGAAGGAAGAAAATATGACATGTCAGTACAGTGGTTTTTAAGGGATTACCTTTGTTGTTGCTAATTTCCTATCTGCTTTTGCCTGTGTCTGAGTGAAGCCTCTTTTCACAGATGACAACTGCTATGGCCATCAGGCTATTCTCCAAAGAGCACAGACTAAGTGAGCAAGGCTGGCAACTGTCACGCTTGTTCCTTTTCCCCCTGCAAAGTGTAGCCTCTATTAAGAGGTCCTCAGAAAGACTCACCATCAGGCCAGTTTCTACACCTCCACTTCAGGACAATTCTTTGGCTTGGGACCTGTAAGAAGATAAGAAGGTTCTCCCCATTACCGTTTGAGATAATTCGCATTACGGTTACTCAGTGCTAATTCTCCCCTGGAAAATAAGGAGAGGAACGTTATCTTATGTAATAGTAGATGCGTGCATGTGAACAATAAAAAGATTGGGGTTTTTTTGTTGTGTTTTTTTGTTTTTTTTGTTTTTCTTTTAAATAAACTGTTTTCATCAAGCTCTCAGCTTGCTATGTTCCTCTGTTTTGTTTTCTCTATGGGAAAAGGTCAGGCTGATGAGTTAGTGAATACAAAACAACGAAATTTGTAAGCATGACAGAATATGCCCATGATTTTCTGTTAAGCAATCCAGCCTGCTTTAATGCTCGAGTCAAGCAGTATTGCCCAACGGTGCCTTACAGCATGCCACCAGCTCTTGTGAGAAGGGGAGGTACTGCTTCAACATAAGCATTAAGTCAGCCTAAGTTTGGTCTAAACCAGGCTTGTTTTCACTAAGCCATTAGGTTTATATTTTGACTTGTTTCACCTAAATAGTTCCGTATCTAATTGCAAAGGTTGACGAATACATCTGACTTCCCTTGGCTTCAATAATGGGATGTTACCACTGAAGCCAATCGCGGGTGTTCTGCAGCATTTATGTTTCCAGACTGAGCCCTTTCTGGAGTTAATGACAAATTTTATTAGCTTGCACTGAAAGCCCAAATTTCCAAGGCTCTGCTTTTTTACAAGTTGTCCAATCATCAGTGATACTTACTGCCCGTCATCTGGACAGACATGAAGAGACCAAGTCTTGGCTTAGCAACTGTGAAAATGATTCTTCAGCGGTTTCAAAAATGGAGCTGAGCTCTAATTATCACTTTTTCCCTTGTATTTGCAAAAGCATTCAGCTGGGGAGAGTGTAACATTTGCCCTGAATAGAACAGAGACCATTTCTCCTGTTACACAAAGTGGTGATACAGATTTGGGAAATAAACCTTAAGCCTGCTTTCTCACTCCTCCTAGTAAAAAAGGACGGTGCTGAGAGTTTTCTCCCGCAGCGCAGGTTGTTAGGTGTCAGCAGTGCCTACTCCTTTGATGGGGAAGAAAAATCACACAACATAATAGCAAATTTTTGGCTTTGTAGCAGAGGAACCGAATACACATTAGAGAAGCTGATGCTACTTTCTAGCTCACAGAAGCAGCTGATACCCCTACCTTCCCCCCCATTTTTGTAGTGCAAAGTAGGAGCTTTTTACCAATTCTGCATATTCACCACTGACACAGCCATCAAACATCTGAAGTTTGCCTCCCTTCTCAGCTTCAATCACGGCAGGACATTTAGAAAACTTCTGTACCAACTAGCAAAAGAAGAATACATGAGTCAGTTAACGACAAATCTATCCTGATACATAATGCACCACATCATTATAAAGACAAGGCAGGTTTGCTGAAGAAATGAACTGTGATATACCTAAACATCTTTAAGCACTAATTGGGCTTTTCATACAGCACTCCACTGAGCCCTCTGGCAGTTGCAGGGGCCAAAAGGAGAATGTAAATGCTGAAAAGCCAGTGATGGCAAATGCAAAGAGCAGTAAAGACTCCAGCCGTATGCGAGGGGCTTAGGCAAAGCACATACATGCACATAGACATGTCTGGCTGATACTAGATTTGGCAATGAGCAGCAGCTCTAGGACAGTGCAAGAAAGAAAATTGCCGAGAGCCATTACTTCTCCCATTGGGATTCTAATTTAAAGGTCTCCAATACCAGCCCAGGCTCTTTTGAAGGACACAAGCCCCAAATTAGTAATTTTCTATTTTGTACCCTATAAGCAACAATATCATCACATCCACTAGTTAATCTCATTAAGCTGTGGCTAACAACAGTGACATTACTGAGCACTTCAGTTGCCTAAAAAAAGGAATGTGATACTGAGTTGCATACAAACTACACAGAGATGCAACTTTACTTTGTTTAGTTGGCTTTTCTCCCTATTAAGGTAGCAACTGGCAAAAAAAAAAAAAAAGGTCTAAGCCATCCCAATAAGCTCTCATTAAAAGGTAAAAGTGGAACGAACGATGCTACTGCCACCTTCTAGTGCTTTCTGATTGCTATCGCAAGAACTTGTCAACGAGGTCAGCCTTTGTTCCTTGGCTGGAGACCAAACTGACACACTGCCTCGACCCTTTCACTTTTTCAGCTGCCTGTAAGATGAAGCTCTTCAGCAAAACTTGAGGAGCAAATTACGACAATTACAAATACTTAGTGAAGTTACAAGAAAAGGGTAGCTCATTAATCCTTTGCTTTCTGGACGATCACATCTCTCCATTTAACGTACTTAAGGAGTACTGCATGTACTTGACAGTATGAATGCGACACATTTACTACTTACACAACTACTCAGATGTAACAGCATGCTCATTAAGTTATACTGCTTACTGAGACTATCACTTACTTCCTTAGTTGTGAAGATGCTATAAAGTTCATCTGCTGGAGAGTTGAATATTTCTCTCATAAGTATCTTCACTGTTGGAATCTTTACACCAACTATATCCAAAGGCTGTGGTGAAATAGAATCCTGTAAAGCAAACAATGGTCACGTAAATGACTGCAAGAGCAAACATTTTAAAGTTCTGGAATGGCAGGATTATCGTTACGTCTGCATTCTTAAAAACATACTGTGGTGTGAATATATCTTAATTATACAGCATACTTCTGTTTTCTCTAACAGTATTATTAATCAGGATTGACTAAATTAAGTGAAAAAATTATGAGTGCGTGATTTGCTCCAAAGACATCTGAAGCTAACTTTAGCCTGGGGGAAGTGACCCATGCAGGTGAATTCCAGCTTCACCTTGCCCAAGCTACAGCTGCTACAGAACAAAGCACTAAGGAGTACATACATGCTGCCATCCTCTTCTGCGCCTGGCAGACCCGTGCCCAGGATCTGCGAGGGGTCATTCCTCTCCTACAGTCCCTGATCACAGCCATGAGGAGGCAGTTCCATCCCAAAGGCCTTCACTTTCGCAGGTTAACACAGGGATATGCCATTGTTACCATAGCAAAACCTATAGGGACTACATTTATGGTAATACTAAATTCGTACCACACTTAAAAACCAACGTACTTGCATGGTGCTCCCACTTAGTTTTCGCTCAGCAGCCAGCTCCTGACCAACAGCAGCTTTTGTTGGCAGAATCATTCCCGAAGTAAACTCTGTAACAGAGAGAAGCACTTTTCAGTATGAAATTGAGCTGTACAACCACCATGACATTTAGATACTTAATGAAGATTGCTGGGTAAAACTGTGAAGAACGGGAGCACGGAACGGGACATACAACTCTAATCCAGTTTCCCCACCTTATTCGTATGTTTTTATTAGCAAGAGAGCCTAACAGCAATTTCCATTAAAAACACCAGCTTTTTCAAAGTTACCTGTGCCCATGAAAGAATGCACCATCTCCATGAACTTCTACACAGTACAGCAGAGAAATGACAAGCTGGGGTCCGGGCATTGTTTTGCCAGCCAGCCATCCAGTCTGCAGGTCTTACAGTGATCTCTGTGGTCAGTGTGTGTAACGCAATACAGCCTGGGCCGCTACAGAAACTTCTGGGCGCTGCCACGTTTGACAGCAATAAAGGTTTCAACTGGTAGGACTAACTTCTTTCATCTCAGCCGGTAACAATTAAAAAATATAACCAATGCAAACCCAAGGACTTGTGAATATATTGCCACTCTAGGCAAGAAAGAAGACTGCATAAAAACATACCTAACACACTGGTTTAAATTACCTGTTTTAAGTGCTTTCAGGTAATCTCTCAGGGCCTCTCTGACTTTTGTGGTTCCCTCAGTTCTCATAAGGTCCTTCAGAACATCGCCTTCCCCTTTCTTTTTGCTAACATTTATCTAGAAACAGAAAAATTACAAAATCTAAGAGGCATCTAAACATTGAGCCTTTTGGGTTCTGGCAACTAAGGAAAGTATTTTGGCTTTGTTTACTATATTCAGAGGACAGCTGCAATTTCAAGTTCACTATCTTCTCAAGTTTATCCTACCTTTGCCAAAAATAAGCCCTCTTGGGTTTTGACTTAAATAAATGTAGTATCTCATCTCCACAGTATCATGGTCAAGTTCATCAAGTATAAACAGAGTTGCCAACTGCACAGCAGAGGTTGAGGAATCTGTGGAAGCCACACTATCAACTGTGATACAGTCAAAAAGGAGATTCCTTCAGTTCTTAAGTTTTTTGGAGGGGTAGGTTGTTTTTTTTTTTAAGACTACAACAAGCAGAGTTCTTCTCAAATTTGTAGTTAGTATATCGTCACAAACAGTAATTAGCAAGAAAACTGTGCACATTCCTAGTAGGTAAATTTCAGAACACAGGTAAGTCATGATTCCAAGTATAAAAAAATAAACACATGAAACAAACTACCCAAGTGTAATCATCCCACTTAATCACAGGATAAATCAAAACATGATGCCTATATGTTGATTAATGCTTTATTTAAGAATTCTGAACCTATATAGCCATATCAGTATTTCACACCTACCTCTGTATCATCTACCTCATTTTCTTCTGACAGGTTAGGAATTTCAACAGATCCCTTATGTTTCTCACCAGACTCTTTCACTGTACCTGTATTAACATAACGAATTCTTAAATGCATTATTAAAAACTATTTCCCCCATAGCAAGAGTTTTATCTTGGAAATTAGTTGTATAAAAGCGTTACTTGAAGCAAGTTCCCTAGAATCTAATTTAAACGACCTAAATAGCAACGCAAAGTCTCAAACGTGTCACAGCGCTTTCACGGTGAACTATTCTCAGAACTGTACTTTCCTGTTCAGATGCATTAAGATACGTACACGCGCACAGGTACACCTTCTCACTCGGCGCAGTTTGCACTACCGTCCCGCCACCGCTCTCGCCTTCAACTGTCAGCAGTGCTAATGCTCTCCGCTTACAACAACTCACCTCTGCCAACACAGAATGTGAATCTACGTGGGGGCAGAGAAAAATAATGCTCCTCCTCTCCTAACCTCGTCCGCCCTTTATTTAGAAACTCCCTAGAATGCTAACTATTCCTTCCCATGTATCTGAAAAGCTCCCAACATACAGGCATGTCACCAAAACATGTACGTATGTGTAATGGACAGGTATACAACTGAATTTTTTTATAAGTATGAAACTTCACTTGCACATTTTTTAGAACAACTTCCTACTCTTAGTAGCTTTACCACGAACTGCCAGTAATCACCATACACATCAGAAGGACTTTGCAAGAACAGAAATTACGCTCTGCTTCTGCATCTTTCTGGGCAAAGGCCTGCCATCGCCTACCGACACAGCTCTATAAACACGCTGGGGGAACACCAACCCTCTACCGAACTTCTTGGCCTCAGACCTTACTGTGAAAAAACGGAATCTAAGGCCTGACGGTTCTTTTTTCTTTCCACTGAAGACTCTTCCCCCTTGCCTTGCAAAAAAGCATCGTTATTGAAATGTATTCACTACTTAGATCATGTTAAAACCTCTTTAGCAGACAATAGCAGAAACATACAGTTGGGCCCCAAATCCAGTTATCTGCACACTGTTGTATCAGCTTAGTTGTCAAAACATACGCAACCCAACAACAGGCTTTATCAGTCCATCAATAAAACTCTCAAATACAAACAGCCCATTATTAAGCCTGACTGCAAAAGGGGGATTATCATGAAGGTAAGACGTAGTATTTCTTTGCATTGTCTCACCTTCAAAGCAGCTAGCTAGATCCAGCTACTACTTAACATCACTCTTCTTTCATTATTTTTAATTACTACCCTGAAACGACCACTACGCTATAGAGGGGCATACCATGCACGGATATAACCTAAGCTGCTACAAGATCACAGTGAAGTACACCAACAAATGATCAGACGTTTCTTAGCAAGACAAAGAGCGAATGACAGTTAGTAACACCAAGTGGAGTACGGTGCAAAGACCCCTTCTTAGTCGGGAGCTAAGTCAGTGAAGCACAGCGCAATACGCAAAGCCTGTTAATCCAGAAGCAGACAACCATGTCCACACAGGGAAAGGCTGAACTAGAAGATCACTCTTGGGCATCTCCAAGTCTCCAGGGGAACCTGTTAGCTCAAGTACAAAGCCATGTGAACTAGTTAATTATACCGTTAAAACACTTCTGGGCCCAACACAAATCACATGCGGCCATCTCAATTTTTTCTTTACTGCCTTCTCCCAGCTCCAGAATTAGCACAGGCAAAACCACACAACACTGTCTTTGCAGATAGTGAAGCAAGTCTTTTTTTCAGCTACTCTCCTCAAAAACAAAGTGCAAGCATGCAGGAAGAAGTTTTTAGGAGCAAAACACAAACCTGACTTCTATCCATTCCGCTAATTTTAATACCAATTTTCACAACTCTTAAAATAAAGATTCCCAAATAGCACAAGCCAAAAGGACAAATTTGAATTCATAAAAACAGTAAAGAGACAGTCCATCCCCCCTTCAAAAAATTGTTAGTCCAAGGGATTAATGCAGATAGTATCTGTTCTGGAACAGCAAGTCTAATCACTTAAGAAGGTGGTTGGTCAACATTAAGTAGGCAGAAAGTTGGTACAACTTTGCAGTTTTAGCATGACTGTAATATAAGCAAAACTATTACCTTTTTATCAAACAAACCATCAAATTATTTGTTTGAATCCCAGGGGACTCCAGTAACATACCTCAGCATAAACAATTCTTTTGTTTCATGCCAATCCACTATTTTAGAAAATTAATAGGGAAAGCACATCTCAGAAAGACCTACGTATAAACCCACTGTTGAAATGCCCACATTTTAAGAGAAGATACACATTTTCATAAAACTTCCATCACAAGGTAGAATAATCCATTAAAATCCTCATTACATCTTCAAACAAATGAGAGAACAGCCATTTTGCTCAATTTTAGTGCCATTAGGTACCCTTAGTTCCTCACTCTCTTATTGCTCTGTAATCTAAATTGCTAGAAGCAATGTTTTTTGCAACATCGCCTTTTCAAACCGGCTGCAAATTTCAGGATTTGTACCATCTTGTTCTTACGTATACAGATTTTAATCGTAGCTTGAATTACTAGTTATCCTAGAAGACTTGTAGAAGGAAGTAATCACAGCAGTTAGTATTTTAGCAGTTCAGTCCAAACTCTCATGTCTAACTTGGAGCTCTCAGAAAACACACACTATGATGGCTATCAAATTAAGAAAAAAATCATCAGCCCCAGCTCTTTCAGAATTTCACTGTGCAGTAGCAAACTCCTTTAAGCATTCAAAGACATTATCCACTCAGTGTAACACTGAACTGAGCAAAAATAGAGTTGTCTTTAGTTAAGCCTACATGAAGGGCTCATAGAGGCAAAAGAATTTTGAAAGGATTTGTATAGATATAGAAACAAATTACTCTATCTGCCTACTTTTACGCCTTATACACTGAAATAAAACAAAAACAACCAACAAAAACATACTAACCAGTATTTAAAACCTAGATTATTTTAGCTTATCTTGGAAAAAAAAACACCCAACCCCAAAATATCAAAAAGCTGATGCCAATTATTTAAGCTGCATATAAACTGCACGACACAGCATGTTTGCCTTCCTTTCTGTTAACAATTAGATCACAATTTTAAGTATGTTCTTAGTTTATAACACACTTTTGACATTTAAAACATAGTTAACTGTCAATGCAAACAAAAATAAATAAATAACAGCACTTCAAGTCCCCTATTATTGTGGGAGCAGATCTCAATGCCAAATCTGTTCAAATTCTGAGCACTGGTCTCAGCATCAAAATAAAACGTTGAAGTCCTGGTCAGTCAAACCATGAAAGACAGTCACGAAGGACCGCGTTGGAGAGAGCACCACAAAAAGAAGCGCAAAACACAGCCAGCCCATGGGAGCAGCCACAGCATTAGCCGAAACACTGGTCCAGAGACTACAGTCCTGTTTTGGGCCACAGGGATGAAGAGGGGAAAATTAAGTACGGTCCTTGGTATTCCCACCTCCCACAGTAATGACTGAGGCTTGAGAAATAAGTACAGTATTTTGGGGAGGAACAACCTGTCATTTGGCTTTACAATATCCATGCGCAATTTTCCGTGCAGGCGCTTTTTATTAGCTCTCCTGCTTCTTACTTCAATGCAAGAGATGGGCCACAATTTGCCATCAAGTTTTAGGCATCTAATAAATGGGAAGAATTCCTTGATGTTGCTAAAAGATACGCTATATGGTCGGTCTGCAAATAAAGTCCCTCTTGCCATGGGACGAGCACAGCGAAGGACGAACCTCCAGGAGTTGCGGCTGCAAGCAGATGCAGCACGACAAAAGTGGATGTGCACACCTTCCATTACCTCAAATAATCAAGAATTACTTCTAGTTTCCTTATTCCCACTAAACAGTTTTTTCCTCATATAATTCCTTATCCTCAATAGAAAGTACACTAAATTTCTGGAAACACCTGCATTTTTACACTCTTAAGACTCTCCTGTTTCCCGCTATAAACACGCATTAAGCACACAGCTGTAATTTAGTGCACGCCAGGAAACAATTCAAGCACACCGGTGTAAGCAATACATGTTTCACCACAATAGAAGTATTTACTTCTTCCAAAGCGAAATTAATAATACTGTGCTAACGAGCTGTTATAACAGTGCTAAGAAACGTGTGTAGTACAAAAAAAGAGGGTGAAGGGGAGAGGGAAAAGACAACCTAGAGTTTCGAGATTATTTAAAAATAAGTATTTATTATAATTCAGGCATACGTATCTCCTGCAGTCTCCCTACGATTTTGATTCACTGCAGTTCACTAAAATACTCCTGCTTTTCCAACCCAAATGAGAACAGTTTACTTTCCACAGCCATCACTCCTGACCCCGCAGAGCAAATTAGCAGAGTCAGCTTTACAAGGACCACGATAAACTCGAAGGCAACCCCTATCAATGCACGTCTTCCCAAAAAAGCTAGGGCACGGTGGGAACATGCAGGGCTGCGCTCCTTTCACCTGGGAAAGGCTAAGCGAGCCCGGCGGCAGGCTCCTCACTGCCAGCGGTGGCCTGAACTAGAGGAAGTCCCCGACAAACGCCTCCGAGGAGCACGGGCAAGGCAGCGCCTCACCGACCTCCCCCGCAGCCC